GACGTCGTTAAGTCTACTAAGACATAACGATCAAAGGTGATTAAAATTGCATTGTTGTGAGCACCAAATGAATTTTATAAGAGAAATTTTGTTGTGTAAAATTGGTGATACCGTATCAATAAGGCAAATATGACAGCTATAGTGAAGAAAATTGCATTACACACTATAACTAGTTTTGCACTATTATAGTATTGAAGTGCGTATTGAATGTTGTAGGACGTTGGTGCCTATACTGTATGTTATTATGTTTGTATCCAATCATTAGATGCGAACTCACATATGAATTACTGTTATTCAGTTATATCATAATGCTAGTAATATATATATATATATATATATATATATATTTATATAAATATATTATATATGTAAATATTATTATTATATTATTACTCACTAGCAGGTGTCTAGGTATCAATACAATGTGAGTTGCAAGTGAAAACTCTGTGTCAAACATAATTTCTGTTGCGTTATCGACAAAGCAGTGTTTCGACAAGAATCGTTTTTGTAATTTATGGACTGTTTGCTCATTTCCACAAGTAAGTTGGTCAGTGTATATATACAGCACACATATCTATTATCTTCTATAGTGTAACGTTATTCGTAGAGATGGTATCATTTTGATTTTTGTAAGTTAAACAGCATGCACCAGCAATTGCAGTTTTAATTGTTATTACTCGACAAAATATTATAGCGTGAAATCATTATTTATTAAGTTATACTCTTTTAAGGTTGTCGGTTAAGTCGGTAGTAGTTTAGCTCAGGATTTCGTAGAGATTTAGTCGAATTAGGTATATTCAAACACTTGGAATTAAAGTATCAATCGAGTATCGACATAGCATATTACTATCGCAACTTATAATATATAAGTGTTATAATATTTTTACGAGCATTCAAAAATTGAGGTTCAATGATAAACTGCCGTTTTATAATTCGAGTGGTTTCTGAGACGGGGAAAAATGGATTTTGACGTTGTCACCACAGCGCTTACAATTATTTAGAGCCTAATTAATAGCACATCAATGTAACGAGGGGAAAACACATTATTATAGCTGGAGTTTTGTTTTGGCTTTTCCTCCACGTATTGATGTGTTGCGGTGGCATGTATCTTTCTGAAGGTAGGTAATATATTATACTGATAAACAATAGCGTAAAAGACTGTTTCACAGGTGATTTTGACTGACGTCGTTCACCCATGTGCTTCGTAAGCTTTTCCGATGCTTCATCGTAAATAATAATTGAATACATATAGAACGACATTATGGGGTACACATTCCTAAAACGCCGGATTTTTAATTGCGGTTTATGCCGTCAAATCCAATCAAATTAGATCAAGTTCAAAAATAGACCCCTTGGACACGAATTTTAGGAGGTCTTCGCTTAAAAGTTAAAACACCTGTATGTGTTGTCTCCGTCTTACGAATGTACAACATAGCAAAAACTGTTTTGCTCTTAAAAGAACTGAAAAGGTTACAGACTTAACTAAAAAACGAATTTTTCACCACATAAAAAGGAGAACTCTACCTGTGCAATATCGTTTTTATTTTCGATAATGGATACAAAAAAATAATTCACAGATAAATGATAATGTTTTCAACTTACTGGAGTCTTAACTATCACTACAGCGAGAGTGGTTCTAACCTGAGCAAAAATTTTTTGCTACGTTGTACATTTGTAAGATGGATTTTAATATAAGACCTCTCAATAACCCATGGAACCCGAAAACAGTTTTACAAGAAAACCGCATAAACAATCGCTCATCGAAATTCATAATATTGGTTGTCGAGGAGTATTTGCACCGCGGTAAATGTGATTATCGATCACGATGTCTATGAACAACAACAATAATATTTTATTCACAACCATTTCTGTTTTTATAATTTTATTTACTTTATAAGGTTATGGAGATTAGTGAAAATAATATTGTCCAATTTCGGTAACTTTGTTTTCTGCCTGTTTAAAATTTTTCGATCGAATTGATTTTTTGGCTAGAAGGACAACCGCAACGACAAGTCATACTGATGCAAATATATGTATGTAGAGGAGTAAAAGCGGGCTGAAAACTGTAAAAGTTTATTTATTATACACATGGCCGAGACTCGAGAGTTTAGTGGGTTGACCGAGCACAGCTTGACGTATAAGTGTATATAGACTGTAAAAGCCCCATGGCCAAGACTAGATCTTATTTTTACCCCGTTACCAGCTATATGACCGTCTTGCGTTCAAATTTAAAATGTCGTATTATTATTGTCGTTCGAGAGTCATATTCATGTAATCATATTATGATATACATCATTACGCTCAGTGTTTACGATTTTTGGTCGGATGCGCAGGCCGTAAGCGAGGACCGATATATTATGGCCTGTTCCTTAGGCGATGAAAAGTTCAGCAATAATTGTAGAAAACATTTTATGTTTATGTATGGAAAACTAAACTCTTTCCGTATTCTCTTGTATCGTGCGTATGAATAACTACATAATATATAAGTAATCACTTCTAAATCATTTCTAAGAGCTGCGAGTCTGTGACAGCCCTTGCTTCCCACTAACCACGCGCGTGTATAACAAATAACAATGTGTTTTTAATGTAAAACGGCCGGCTTCTTATTACATATTAATTATTAAGTATTAATTTGGATTTAGAATAACAATTATAACGGTGATCAGTTGCATAACATATCACTAGACATTTATAACAATTAACGACACACGGTTTTATATTACTTATCACGTAGACACTATCCGCGTACCACTAACCTAACCTTTAATGTTTCAAATAATTTTTATGCCAATAATAATATTATAGCTTAGTTCATTGTTACGCGTGTCGTTACTATACGGTGCATTTCCAAATCGTATCGTTTTTCGTGTTCAGATAATATTATTTTGTGGCTCTCGTCGCTGTGGGTTAATCCAGAGAAACAATTAATCGAAATCGTTCAACGAAGGTACGCATATTATATGATAAAATTATCATTAATATTACTAATATTATAAGTTGTTACTTATTTCATATTCAGTATAGGTAGTAACACAACGCAAAAAGTCAAATAATATTATTTTTGGACTCCGGTTTGGACGCTCACGTTGAGTTTACATAACTTTAGAAACCAGAACATATAAAATAAAATGCATAAAATATATTATATACACATAGGTATGCGATATGCGTCTTATGATAATTATAATATTATTGTGGAACGAAAAACGTGGTGAACCTGTTGCATATTTAATGTTTTATTATTATTCAAGCAGTGAAAAAAGACCTTTAACTGTATATAGTGGTAACTGGTAAAAGAAATAATGCGAGTAGAAATTTGTAATAATATGCATTTGGTTACCAATCGGAAAAAGGATCGAAAAAATATTTGTTCAAATTTCAATCCACCCTAATCACCACCTATAGTGGCTGTTTTATTTGTATATACTATAATACGTAATTATGACGTGGACCCAGCTATTACTATTTAAAAATTAAGAATAAAAAAAAAACATAATAATATATTGTAGTTAAATTAATCAAGTTAAATAATGTATACTGTATAGTTATTACAACTATAATATTTAACTATTTCTTCTTAATTATATTCAGTAAAATATTATATATAGTATTGTATCAACTCAATTATTATTAAATATATTTAAGCGAAATAAAAAAAAACATAAAATGAAATACCAACTTGCATTTTTGATTTTTCGTGTACGTATTTAAATGGGTAAATTAATATAAATAAGCAAATAGTTAATTAAATGCATTTTCGATGTCAGCATACATCATGTTTTCAGTGTTTAAATAAATGTATATGAGAATATAAACATGAAGTATTGATATGATTCATATTATTTATACTATTAATCAAAACACTTCTTTATCGTTAACGTTCAGTTATTATTGAGTAAATAACGCATGCACATTGCTTAGGAAAAAAATTATGAGCAAATCAATTCATAACAATGAAAAATGTATATATTTTGTTCGGAAATTTTGAATGTCATTGGCATATAGTTAAATCATCAAACGGACATATTATCATATATTTTACGCTCGCTTTCCGTACACTTTCCTTGACATTGTTTGCTGTGTACGTGTGACGTTCACGATACAATATGATGTATTTGGCTGTAAAGGAATTTATTTGTAATGCAGTAATAAGTTATGCCTAATAGTAAATTAATAAGCCATGGAAACAAGTTTAATGAAAACCATCTAATCACTCGAGGATATTGAATGGCGGCACATTTAGCTCTGCGACGTACCTATAGGTGTACTCGAGAAATTATTTCAGAAAGTTGTTCATCATTTTAAACGCTTTTAAAAATAGCATAAGTCTTAGGGTTACCTATAGGCTTTACGAATAGTAATCATTTTTCAATGTCAACCTGCGCATAGGTGCAATACGTGCAGTGTACAGAATACATTCTCGTATTCCGCTGATAGATGACCATCTGTAAATATATTCGAGTTTCATTAAAAATCTTTATCAGTATATTATAGTAATATTAAAAATGCAATTTGAAATTGGTCACCAAAGTACACATTGGACACACAAGAGACTTACACATTAAATCTTATGCGCAGGGGATCTAAAGCCACCCGCGGAACCCCTATACCAATACGCTCGTACAAAATCCAAAGTTAACACTATCTCATCCAAAGAAGCATTCGGTCCTGGACAAGAATCAAAAATTATAGACGATCGAGACGTTGATGTTTTTGATCGCACATCATTATTATGAAACAACATAACACAGCAGAGTTCTATTTACTAGCTATCACAATATATCATTGTGTTTTAATAGCACCTCAAAACATTGCAAATTACAAGCGTAATATATTTGTATACGACTTTGGACTATCTTAGGCTAATAAACAATGTATTCGAAGCCTTAATATAATGAAAAAAACAATTTAATTAGGTACAAATTATATGTTTATAAATTTATTTACGATTGTAATTTAATTAATTAATTAAACTTGTATGGATTTTTAAGTATGCCCATTCGTTGTTGGCGATCCCAACTGTTAGTTGACCAATGTAATCATAGTAAATGTACGTGTGACTTACTAACTTAACTATTAACTTATAATTTTTTTATATACTAGTTGAAGCGGTTCACAAATTTTATCTAATGATACCTTTATGTTAATAATTCATAAAATATAGCTACACCATGTGAGTACAACAATTTTAATAATAAACAGGTAGGTGCCTAAAAATTAATATTACCTATACTCTTAAAAATGAAATGAAAAATATTGATTTTTAATAATAAATTGGTTGTATTTTGTCAGTGGCTAATATTATATTTCATCGGATGTTATAACTAATTAATGGTATCTGCTTACTTCGACGCTGAATAAAGACTGAAAAATACGTCACAGTTATGATCAGTGCGAGATTAATATCGTTGATTATTTGGTAAAACATTAATTCATAAAATAACGATTGATAACTTATCATTTTGAATGTAATTTGCTTAATTTTCAGAATAACATCGAGTGCTGTTAAAGATAAAGAGCTGGTCTACCTGGTCATTAAGACAATGCGTTGTATAATATACGTTTAATACTTTAATGTACTGCGTTTTACTATAGACTTTGTTTAATAATTATCAGTGGTGCCGGTGCGTATAATACTATAATTATCGTAGCATATCAATTGGTCGATTTATTATATTAATTTTGCAAGTACGAGAGCGTTTCGTATACAGTCACGTGACCGATTTCAATAATGCTTAACCTAGTTAATTTTCAAATTAAATAACTTTAACTCAGATTTGTTTTTAATTTGTTATTTATCATCAACTACAAAGGTTTTTAGCTTACATAAGTACTACATTTTCACAATATATGCATATTTCAATTTTTTTAAATAAGAAATCAGATTGATAGGGTTTGAAAATGGACTAATTTATTCGTGCGAGTTGTCTGAATTGTTAAATTCATTTCTGTTAAACTAAGATTACCAAAATGTAGTGATAAATAATGTAAATCAATATTTTATTGATAATATTATTTATTATTATACATAAATTTTTGTATAGGAATAGAAACTATAAAAGTATCCTGAATTGTATGTTTGATCACAATAACCTCTGAAACGTTAAAGTCTAGACTATAGTCTATGTATATAAATATGAATATTTCCATAATTGAAAATAAACTATTCCATAAACTATAAGGGTTTTCACTGTTTTCAGATATTTGCATTACAAAGATCTAAGAATATTAATAATAATAACACTTTGAAACAAATAATTTAGGAGTACAAATTGTATTTTCATTCACGGCATGCGCAGTAGATAAAAATAACTAATCTTTGAAAGTTGACACAAATACACAATACGAATGTACTATTATGAAAAATATATACCTGTAAATAATTTTTTTATCAAGCTCCATACAATTTTACTTGATTTGTAAATTAATAACGTCTTTAGAGAATTTAATAACGTCTTAGAATTCTTCATTCATTTTTAATAGTTTAAGTCAAGTAAACGTAGTTACGGAAGCTTATGTGTCATCATAAGTAAATGTTTAAAGTTCAACCATTTTTCTTCATAAGAAACAGTAAAAAACAATTATACTTTTAAACACTTTTTAGTGGTAGTTTTATTTGCTCATATATTTTTTTTAAAGTAGCCGAACTTTCTTAATTAGTTTAAAAAAAGGTAAAAAAGTTTTGTGATAAATCAGTTCTTAGATATAAATTAAATTTTAAACGAAATATATATATGTTTATAATTCATCTTTATTTATTGGTTATTAGAATAATTTTTAAAAACTAAATACATGATGTTCGGTATTGCTAATAAATAATTTTGCATATATTTTAGTAGTATAAAAAAAGGATTTCGTCTGGTTAAATAGAAATTGTAAAAGTAATATGAGCAAAATATATTATTGTGTAATATTAAATAGTAATGCATTATTTTTTTATTTAAGTATGTGTTAAATACATTAAGTGTAATATATATAAGATACAATTATTGTTTTAAATCGTGGCTATAAAGCAATCAATAATAAACATTTAACAATTATAGAAAGTACATTTTTAAATAGTACATAAATAAAGATGTTGGATTCTTATTAAATACGTAGAGTTAAATGAAAATGTGAGTTTTCGAAAACGAAATTCTTTGATTTGTTTTTATTGAAACCTGTTGAGCTCAATGCTTGATAGGAATACTAATGAGTAATAACTTAGTCAAAACGGTTTTCTTTAATTTAAAGTGAACAATTTTCACATGTACGAACCTTGGTCACGGACGCAAAATGTCAATTTGGATTTGTAAAGCGTTTTGGTGAAAGTAAAAACGTGCTACACATATATAGTGTATCGGTGGGTCGTTTAATTAAGTGTAAATATGCCAAAAGCAAACACTGCTGAAATACATTTGTATTGCTATACATTAGTGGACATCAAACACATTTGCTTTAATACATTTTGAATTCTTTCGATCTTTATTTCCATAAAAGCAATTTACAAGACGCTTTAAGTTGTCTTTTCTTTGATATATAGAAGAAAAAAAAAGTACAAAATGACAATTTTAAATATCTATTTAAACATAAATTAGGCAATAATCGCATAGTTATGTAATGAAATAATTATCTACAATAGGTTTTATAGTCTTATAGTTTATGTAAGACTTTAGATGATTTAACTATTTTAATATATAACTCTAATAATAATGTAAATGGTACTACATAAGAATGCAATGATATTTTGGTTGTATTTATAATTCCGTACACTGCATTACTGCTGTATTTTATCATTACAGGGATAAAATTAGTAAAAATTAAAAACCGAATTTGAATCTTGATAAAATTAAGAAAACTGACATTAATTGCGTGTAAGAACATTTACAAATATTTGACATATGTGCATAATAAATGCCTAACATATGGTATATGTATGTATAATCATAGAAAATTCATTATAATATACATATTAAATATCTATGAGTTAGATCTTAATAAATGAGGAAGTATTATATAATATATATATATATATATATTATATAGCTTTGTAAATCTTAATTTAATATTGATGATATTGAAATAAAAAAGTTTATTGCATTGAATCGGGTAAATTTGAAAGAGTATGACTGTATAGTGTGATGAATGATTATTAGTTGATGGAGATTTCTTAATTTCCACATAGATATAATGATGTTTGGAAGTTACATATTATAGTGAAAAATTAATTAAATTCCATGTTTATAATATAGACTATTGGAAAATCACAATTTACTCTATAATAGCCGTTGTCTAGAATGTTTAAAACCTTTTGAATCGGCTGTTCACGACAATAATTGCATCCATAATAATAGTGTTATGAATAATTATCATTGATTTTATATACAGTACCTTTATCCAACTATAACCAATGATATCTAATATATAATTTCCGTATATATTGTTCGAGTATCTACCCATAATAGTATTACAGAACCGAACGATTACCCGCCAGCGAGTTTCATAAACATTTTATTATGATTGTTGATCGAAATAAAATATAATTTAATATGTATTATGTTATAATTAATAATTGTATTACCATTTTCAACACTGAGAGACGGAGATAACACCATATTACATTGTAAAAGTGCTCAGTGGCGTATTTCCCGCGGTGGGGGAGTCATAACCCCTCTACGGAGACCAAATTTTGTACACAATACAACATATATAATAATATGAATATAATATGTGTACACTGAATAATATGTATATTAACATTTTTATATCTCCCCCCCCCCTATACTTAATAGTTTCGGGTATAATATTGTACCTACCTAAGTGAATCTGGTACAGGGATAGTGAGGATACGAGAGGACCGGATATGCTATTCCATATTTATAATCGAATTTTATTCCCGTTTCGTCCACGCCTAAATTAAGCCCCATATTATGTACGCAGGGTGATTCACCAAACATGTTCATTAAATTGTGATTTTTTAGGATTGCGACTTTTGAATTTTTTGAGAATATACGTCTTACAATTTATAGACCACATTTCTTCTTACTTAGATTTGTTAAACCATTAAAAAAAAAAATCTGCTTATTAAGAATTTACAGTAAAATGGGTAGGATCTCTAGTTACCACAGGACACTCATCAAACGGTTTCGACACACATTTAAGTTATTAAAAATATGGTCTCCCATAGTCAGTTATATTCTAAAAGTCAGAATTTGAATAAATACATTATTAAAGAGGAAAATGGGGTACATCGTATATGCATGTTTATTATTGCACGGTGAATCACTCTCTGTGTATACATCACGATCGAGTTACTCACTTTCACTCCTCTTAAACGCACCTACATAATATGATGGTACCTAAGAGCTCTTATTGTAATAAAAATCATTATGAAAATCGATTGAACGGTTGAATCACAATTTTTCCGATAAAATCTTAACGAAATTGAATGCAAATATATTTTGTGTTACATATTATTATACTATCAATTTTTTTTGCTAATTTGGACTGAAAATGGTTAAATATACTGACTACCAACTAGTAGATACCCCAATCTAATTACACGTCAAGCTGGTAGTATTCTAATTTTCACAACTTTAAACTAGTTTAAACCCGTTTCGTCGCCATTGTAATGTGGTCACTGGTTCAAAATAATATTTTATATATTTTCATAGACTGTTACTATATCTGCTTTACTTTTTCAAAACATGCTGTTATTTTATTTGTGCAGCAAAAATAAGTTAATAAATATGAATTATTTACATGTGTTCGTTTTGTGTTTTAATTTGCATAAACCAGGCTATATTATTTCGACGTTATTATATTCGCGGTATTTGACTAATAGTTTTCTGTTTATCTTTTTTGGTTTCATAAATTATTAAACATTGTCGATGTTGCTATAAAATTTTAGTGTCGTTTTCTAAACTATAATAATATTATGTTAATGTCAATACCTCGCCGAAAGGGTACTGCAACGAGAAAACGTCCAGAATTTTATTTTAAAATGTTGTGGGTGAAATTAAAGCAATTGTTTTTTCAAAACTTTAATCATAATATAATGTATAAGTACTCAAGATGATTCACCAAGCATGCTCACTCCCATTTTCTTTAATAATAAAATATTAAAAATTATGATTTTCAGAATTATCAAGAATAAGTATACTCAAGGACTATATTTTAAAATGCTTAGATTTTTTTATAATCAACTTCTTTTTTCAAACGAGAATCACTCTTTCCGGGAGTGACGGTGCTCATGGAATTTTCCATACTGTTAACACTACTACGATTTACTCTGTGAGTACCGTTGAATATAAATAAATAAACTACATTCTAATTTCATCATCAAGCAGCTTTAAATCTGTTCTTCTTGTACTTACAAGTTTAATTGTATACAATTTATAAATCGATATAATGTTGTGCCACACATTTAGTGTAAATTACAATTATAATTTTGTACGCTGTAATTTAAACGATCCTCGACAACTATAATTATTGCATAATTTATTACAATTGTCTTGCTGGTGCGTTATGGTAGTTTTCTTTTGTTTCATCTATCTAATTGTGGTTTGAATAATCCACTTAAATATTTAAAAGTGAACATGTTAATTATATTGAAAGGATTGTAACTATTGTTTTTAAGTATGGAATTATTTTTCTCACTCTACTTCACAGCTCATGAAAAGTAGTTCAATAGTTATACAATGTCCATACTTATATTATATATAAACTTTTATACCAGTCATCCTATACCCTTTATCACCTTTACACATTAACGTGACAAATAATTATATCTTATTAAATTCGAGTAGGTTGCTAGGGCTTATATAATATGTTATCGTTTTGTAATGATTTAGTTCAAATAGGAAGGAACCCAATGAAAGAATGGTATTTAAAAATAATTATCCTTTTTTTTTTCATTTTTATACATACTTAATAGTTATACCACGGTGTGCCATTAATAATTTATTTCTTAATGTATTATCAAATTAATTTAACTAACAAAATTGATAATTACCACATTATTCAATATATTGGTGTAAGATAATATTATAATATTCTAACCTGTTAATTGAATAACAAATTGTTGTGGTTGTTAACCTAAAACTGTATTAGCTGATATAAATACTTAAGCTTGTAATATACGTAATTATAGTGTAATAACGAAGAATTATATTATATAAATATACATTTTCTACAAGACGAAGTTCATTTTATGAGAAAAAAAATTTTGATTTAAACATCATATTATGATTGTATTTTATTAAAGAAGATTTTTAACAAAATAGAAACCTTAACTAGAAGCGCTTATTCCATTTTTTTTTATTTTTTTTTCATACTGAATACCTATTTTGATTACAAATAATTTCGTTTTTTTTTAAGTAGATGTGTGTTGTTTTTTTTGTTAAATCGAGAGTTCTGAACATTTTCTTATTTTAATTAAAAATATAACTAATACATACTACAAAAATGAAATAATTAATAAACGTTTTAACAAAAAGAAGAAAGAAATGTGGGAAATTAAGATTCACGCGTAATGTGTGTAGATTGTTGCGTGCGTCTAAGTACCTATGTAAGAAAGTGAACATTTTGGATTACATAAAATAATTAAACAAATTGTTATGATTCGAACGATTAGACTCATGTGACTTTATACTTCTAGGAAGTGATTCATTTAAGTTTCTTTTTCTTTAGTACACGGAAAGTGGTTGTGTTTCATAACAGACAATGTGTTTTAATCAGAAAACAGATGGTTTTATACTTAAAGTCACAATATTAGCATAATCGACCAATATTATATATATATATATATATTTGACTTTGATCTAGTCTGTTGCTCAGGATGTTCAATTTAAACTTAAAATAAATACACGGAAATTAAAATATTAAAATATAATACAATTTTACATTAGCTATATTTATAAATATATGTTTTTACGGTGACACAATACAATTATTGATTACAATTTAAACTTTTGATAACCTCCACGGAAACAAGATTCATAAGATATACTATCGAACTTGTTACCATCAATAAGACTGTTTATTTGTAGTGGAATTAATTAAATATTAGTGTATAAAATACGTCTTATCTATTAAAAACTTACGAAAAACATCATTATTTCATGTTCTATAATACGTATATCATATCTATATGTATAATACCTATAACATAACTCATCATAACGTAGTGAAATCGTTCGCTTCTGTACATAATATTTTTTACTCCAATTTCCTCCCGGTGTTTTCGGAGTCGATTTGAGCAAACCCAAACAGTGTAAGTACTTTAATTGCCTCACACAGAGAATAGCATACTTAGATTATAATTTAATTTACCGATATTGTAGTTACGGATGTTATATCGGTTTGCGTAGTGTTCAAAATTATTATTATTTATTGTACCCGCTATTAGTTGGCACAGATATAATTTCTTACCTACTATTACCATTCAGTTGTATTACCAACTATTGCCATGTTGCAGGTGTGTTCTTATTGAAATATTACTTTTTTATAACTGATTATTTACCGTAGTATTGACTGCAGCCAAAGTCCTATTTATTCATCATGATTATATTCAAATAAACACTTGCGTATCATTAGAAGATTTAAATTAAAACACAATCAATCATTCATCATTATTTGTTGATTCCGAATAATATAAAACTATACAATTATTTGCATTAATGTGCAAATCAAACTCATGTTCAAATGTTTGTTTGGAAGATAAAAATATTGTTGCAAAACGAAATTTGCATAAGTATAATATTGGGCTTGGCGGAGGCGATGAGATATATATTTACAAGGCTACGATGCACGGTAATATTTTATAGGTATGTGTTATTATTGAATGTTTATATTCATTCATTTTTTAGAGTAGTCAAAGGAAACTTGATACTTAAGATTGTTTAACAATATAATTAAATATTAAAGAGTTATTCGACTTATTAAATTTTTTAAATTGGAATAATATTTAAAAGACTTTATTTTGCATGAATATAAAAACTCAACGACACAAACAAATGTATTTTCTTTTCATCAGTAAAAACAATTGAGTTCTTGTAGAATATGAATGTAGCCCGAGGTATGAGGACCTGCAAGACTGCGTTTGACAGTTTTTCATTATTTTACAACATTTTGAGTTTGGTGACGAAAATGCTAACAGTCGATTTTCTTATAGAGAAGACAACCCACCCGCTAGACCATAAACATGACATTTTTTTAAAAAGTTTTCAAAAATTGACATGAAATTTAAAAAAATGTATTAGTTATAAGTACTGACATTTGAGCCCAGTTGTTGTTTTCAGTTTTAAATCATATTTGAAAATTCTGTAATAGATTTAATGGTCTATATTACCATGTACAAATGTACTATTATTGTAATTTAATTTGTACATAATATTATTAGCATTTTATGATGTCAATTAATAAATGTAGAAACTTAAAATTTAATGATATTGACCATAATTTGTCATATTAATTTAAAAATGTCCAAGTTCTATATTTCTATACTTTGTTATTAATTACCAAGGTTCAATAATCTGAATATCAATACGTGGGTTCATGAATTATTTCAATAATATAACAGTCTATTAAAGTACGGTTAGTTCTTATTAATTTAGTATAATTATTGCTGTCTTGAAACTTGAAGTTACGTAAACCGTCTGTTCTGGCCGAAGAGCGTTTTTATATACCTATTTCCGCTAATAAAAATAATTAAATATTTTTTAATTGAGTACATTTTGTTGACTTATTATGAATGGGTTTCCCACGTGTAACTTTACAATGTCGTTTTCATCCGGATATCGTTTGTGTTAGTCCAAAAACCAATTATATGGGTGCTTACTCAAAGTGGAATAAGTACCTAATTTAATTTAGGTATCTAATTAACCGGTTGAAAATATAATGAATACAACTTTCACCTTAAGAATGATGAAGTACATTTTTTAAATGAATTACACATTTTTTAGTATAGTTACCAACCAAAAACATTTTGAACAACTACCAAGTACAACTATTTTTTTCGTCAACAAATATTAAGTTTTCTTCAAGCACAATATGAATTTATATTTTTGGAGAACTTGCCTATATGATGGGGGAACTGAGTATATCGACAGTCTAGAGACAAAGTACATTTTTATAGTCAAGAACGTAGGTACCTAATTATTTTGTTCGATTATTTCATAAACGAAATACCCAGTAGGTATGATAGCTAAATGTCGATCACGTCATGTGATCTCATTTGATGAATTAATTTAATAACCGAACGAGTCAAATTTATCCTATCGAAATCGTTGATTATTACAATATATATTATAGACGGACGTCACTTTTATAGTTCATGCTGTACTATTTTATGGATACTAACTGGACTTACACTAATTCATGGTTATTTTAAACTTATAAATAGTGACTCTAGACTTTTACCACTGCACTGAAGTCACGGAACTCAGCAATATTGGAATATTATATAGGTACCTGAATAGCTTATCTATTAAAAGAAAAACGTTTAAAATCTTTCAACCAATATAATAAGTTGCTGTTGTAAGGAAGTAAAAATATATAAATCTACTATTGTATTATGTTTTGTTATTAATATTCAAAGAACTTGTTCAGCATTTTCAAGCATGAGCACACTATTAATTATTTACTATAAAAATAGTTATAAGCACTTAAATTTATTTTTGTACGATGCAGGATTCAAAATGAAACTATTTAGTACATTACTCATCTTAGAGTTATGGGTCATAGTCATAAATTTCCTATATAATATAAAGTATAATAATATACTGTATAGTATGAAATAAAATAAATGCATTTTATAATAGCTTTATTTGAAAATATTACTACATATATGTCTAAACTCAATACTGTACCATAAAACTATCTTAAACCTAAATGATTATTAACTTCAATATAATTTCTAGTCCAGTTCAATAGATTATTTTAGTTAAATATCATATATTATAATACTCTAGGTGACATTCCAAACAGAAATTTTTAATTAAAATATCTTTTTTTCACTTGTTTATTATGTAAATTATTTCAAACTGTAAAGCATACGTCATATTTAAAATGTAATTGGCAATTATAAATTAAAAAATAAATTTTGATTTATTATAATAATATAATTCTCATTATCAGTAAAAAACCAATAGAAATTTAAATTTATAATCTAAACTAAAAAGAAGCGTGCAAGACAATATTATGTTGAGCTCGTCGAACCTTTACGTACCCGCCATAATTGCTTAGGTACCGCAATTAAAGGTACAGACATTTTAAATGAATTAAATAACTGCTGTTATAAAAAGAAGTTTTATTTACAAGAACAAACGTATAACTCTTTTGAAATGCGGGACTTAAAGTGTATAATTACATTAAATCATTATTTTAAACTTTTGTATGCGTCCCGAGTTTTTATTTCTTACAATATAATGTTCTCAAAAAAAAAAAAAATATATAAACATATGGATTATGGATATATTTAGGTAAAGTAATTTTTAAAAAAAAAATCGTTTATTATTTCGATATTTAAGTATTGAAGATATAACTGATATAAGATGTACATGATTAAAGAACAACCTTATTTATGTAACAAAATCAAACTTCTCAAATAAATGAAAATTTGTATTTATATCTAATTTTCATAACATTTACTTGTATACTTTACAAATTTTTAGAATGATTATTTTTATTCAAAAACAATAAAATAGTACGGCAATGGTATTATTCAATAATGTATACCTACATGACCCATGGAAAGTGTGAGGTGTTAATAATAATAATATGTGTTAATATTAATGTGTGCCAAATTTAAGCGATTATTTTTTTTTGAAATTGGGCAGTTTAGGTTACTTACAACTGATAGTTTTTTTTTAACTGATAATAATTAGTAATTTTTATAAATTGGTACTGTTTAGTTATTTGCCTAGTTATTCTCGATTCGTAACGTATGTGGTACATAATTAAAAAAATGTCCACTGGACGTATTACATTGTAAACTTACTATTATCATAACTAATAATGATTTTTATCCCTCAAAGGATATTTTATAAATGCATTCAAATTGTTGAAATGAATTAACGTAAAAAATATCTCATTCGATTCGACGGATTATGTTCGAATTGTCGTGTTAAAAAACTACAGTGTACACTGAACAGAGATTGGCGGTCAGACTAACGTTCCTATTCGTTCATTATGGTGAAAAAAATATATAATTACATTCAGGAAACGATTGTCTGAGTGAAGCTTGATTATATTATAATATATTATAGTTTATAAATGGAACTTTTTTCAAAAATATTTTTAATTCCTAATTCTGAAAAAATCTGAATTAAAAAAAAAAAGTAAGTTATTGAATTATATTAGTGCACTTGACTTCTCAATTAGCATAACTACACGTCGTTGTTAACTACTATCCATCAGATGAGAAAATGGATACATTTTATATTTATAAAAACCCCTTATACAATTACGAATACAACATAAATAGCATAGCACCTAGGTTATCAAATAACATATTAATTACTTATATTAATCGTTAATTAGTATTAAAAACGAATGTATCCTTAATTATGTACAAAGTACTATCAACGAAATAAGCTCATATTAAAAACAATAGTAAGTTTTCGTATGAAAATAATATTATAATTTACCAACCATATAATATTATTATTGCAATTTACTTACACGATGTTTTTCTGCAGCTTATTCTACACATGTGTAATCTTGCTTACAAAATAGGTGATATTTTTTTAAAAATATAAAATTCTATAGTAGTTTGGTTTTGTCATTAAATTTTGTTTTTTGGTCTCGGACAATAATTTTTGACCATACAATATTATATACTAACTTCTTGTAATATTTTAATAAAGGATCAACATATTAAATATATTACATCTTTATGTGTGTGCGTGAACCTTTTGGCGAATAGGTTTAATTAGTATTATATCTACCTGTTGTACTAATTTGCATGGAAACCAATTAGTAAAAAAAGTACAGAAATTCAAAAAGATTCTAAAAGAAAAAAAAGAAACTCACCCAACAGTAATTAAGTCATAAACTATTATTTTTTTAGTATTTTTATATAAGCATTGTTAAAACACAATGCAAGTCCACATTGCATGGGTGGTTACATTAAATATAAACATTATTCATGGTGGTAAAAATATGCAGATAAATCAACAGTTCATTATATCTTAAGTTATAATATAAACAATATACACTGTATAAAACATTATATACGTTTTAACACTCGCAAATTTAAAATATTGTGATGGTAACAATTAGTTATATTGTTCAATTGTATAGGGATTATAAATAAAAAAATTAAACCAAAAACAGGATTTACACCGATAAAAATTCACTAATATTAATTTTTTTTTCATTATTTAAATTTTTGAAAATAGCGAAAAATTACTTAAACATTATTTTTTTAGTACTAAATAAGCTTCCTAGTTTGCATACTTTTCACTAAAAGTTATATAATATACTATCGTAAATATTTGTAAATATCAATGTTAATACTACATAATAATATAATGTCTTATTATTAAAACCTACCCATAAAAAAATAATAAAAATTAAAAACTGTAATTAATGCAAAATGTACATTATTTTTAAAAAAATATTGCAATGAATTGCCCATAACATAGTTGACAATATTTGTCTGATACCAAATACTCGTATGTCAAAATCGTTATTTGGCTTGAATAATTTTATAAAATAGGAGAAACATAATTTATCATAAAACGCGTTGATTCGATGGTTTTTATGAAATGACAAAACGGTCGAATTGAATTAAAAAACTTTTTAATTTTTTTTTTTTTTATTGAAACATTTATTCACTGTATAATATCAATTTTGTTTTCTATCAGAAAATAATTTTTTTTTCAAACTACATTTATTTTTTTTGTTAAATTAAATTAATATTGTTATAATCTATATTGTTATTTGTTATAAATAATGTAAAATCATTTTTACATAGGATATTTTTTAATGAAATGTAGTTTAAGAATTTTCTTTAAAATATTATTTTTAATTAGGCTTTAAAAATGTTTTACGAAAATTATCATAAGTTAAAAATTAAAAATAATAAATTAATACTTTCATACCCCTGAATCTAAAACTTATTACTAGTTTATTTCATACGATATATTGTTTTTGTAAATAATCAAATAATCATATTATTATAATTATTCAATATAAAAGTCTTTATATTCTTTTATAAATATTGGTTACTTCGCACTAGCCCGTAGTATAATTTTTTCTAAATGAAACATTTATAATGCAACTTATTACACGTGAGTACTATAGTTACACAGAATTTGTATTTTCACACTACATATTTTATCGTACTTTCTACTATGCAGAATAAAACAAATTATACAAAATTCTCTACAAATGTATCGTGTATACTCGTATACACTGACTGGAAAAATTTCAGAAAATAAAGTCATATAATTGTATATAGGTACATTATACATTTTACCTACATATATGTACGTACGTACCTACCTATTAAGAAAGTTACTGAAAAGATGAAAAATTATATTAAATAAAGTATATTGTTATTAAATGTATTTATATATAAGAGTATGTCTTTTAAAGACGTCACAGAACATAACGATTTTCTTTCTTTTCGGTAAATAAGGTTAATATTTTTGAAACCAGCATTTGTATACTCCTTTATTAAAATACACTATACACAACTTTAATATATCAGTTACGAAAAGCCATTATATACTTTGTGTATAAATAACTCTCTTTTGGCTAACCGATTCGAATCGGAAGCCGAGGCGTGTTTATCGCGGTATTTTTTTTACTCCAAAATTTAAGACATATCTACTTACATCCGTCAGCAGTTCTTTCAATCTGGTCAACCGGTCGTCGTTTCCTCTGGTGGGTAGGTATCTCGCCTCGGCCATCATATACGGTGCGACGACCACAGCGGCCACGAATCCGACGAGAAACAACACGGACAGTTTACTTGCCATCGTCTGGAAGAAAAGAAAACAATAAGAGACAAAACTTACAAAAACCAAAAACAATAATCACACGGGGCTTTGGAAAAATGATAGATCGTAAACGACCGGAGCGTCGTTTGTTGGTTCTAGGATCTGTACGGACTCGCGCGGTTTGCCAGGTCGTACGCCGTACGACAATAAATTCTAATAATATTATCGTCGTACTGTTTCGCGGCTTGTGTGAACCTACCTTTGTGCAGCAACAACCGAAGAAGAAAACCGAAACGTTTGGATATTGTGTATCGTGTGTATATTTTTTAGCGTATTGTTTTGATAGCCGTAGGCTGTATATTATTATTGTCTTCTGCGTTGGTAACAACCACGAGCGCCGACTGACCGTGCGATCGGAAGAGTTCGAGTCGCGAGCTTCGGGTGCAGATTTTTATAGTGACGGCCGCCGTGCTCCACGGGGTTGCGAGTGGGTGTACTGTAAGGTCTGCGATGAATGAACGGTGCTCCGATGTCACGTGCTTTAACGGCCAATGCGGGCCGTGAGTCATACCCCGTGAGCGCCACACCCCCACTGGGGGGGTACGTATAGCGCCGGCCACCACCACCGCCGCCGCCGCTGTTATGTGTATATATATATATATATATTATTTGTATATACATGTGTGTGTGTGTGTGTGTGTGTGTGTGTATGATATGGCGTGTATTGTACTGCAGTCGACTTATTGTGTCTTGTATATGTTCAATGTTGTATACTAACGCCGCCAATTTGCCCACTCATATACTGTTTTCTCGTTTTTATCGTGTAGTCGATAAAATATAATATTGTGACTTGTTATTCCGGTGCACTCTACAACCTCCCCGACACCCTCTCGCATACACCTCACGGTCGTCACCGCCCCGAAAAAATGTTCATTCATGGTCCGAAACGAGTCCGTCTCGCGAAATAATACTCCGATATTGATAATATTGCTATTATTATTATTATTATTATTATTATTATTATTATGTGTTGCAGGTCTACTGCGCTGTGTCGTCATCGTTTTCGGTTTAAATGTCGAAAGTTCGCAATCATATATAAGTAGTATACTAATGGAAGCCAACCCTGCTAACGTTGCTTACATCGTCTAAACAATTTCGCCAAACAAATACTAGGCATTGTTTCGCGTATTGGTACATGACGATGATTATATTTCACACGGTGAAAATACTGAATGTCCCTATATAATATTATTTTATTGTATTTAAATTAATATCGTTTGTGGTAAGAAAATCGAGTTATCTATGTGGCGTGTTCAAATAAAACGTTAAAAATATGTTTTTTCGATTTTAAATAAATAATGTTTGTGAAGTTTATAATAACTACTTCCGAAATAATGTCTTATGTTATTATGTACTTATTTTTGGTTTTTGTGTCTACATCACGTCGTAGTTGTTTATTTTTTATCTTTATACGAATAAATACGTAATAGCGTAGTTCTATAAAAAACATCAGTACGAATATCATGTGAATTATGCATAAACCATATTAATATATTATACCACACACATAGTTACGGTATAAAGATGTAAAATTCTAAGCATAATTTTATATGGTGACAGAATAATAATTACAGATAGTCGTCTTTTAGATAAATCTAAGAAATTATGACAGATATAAAAAAATAATGTTGGACATTAGTCATAATTAGATGAAAAGTTATTTTTAAAGAACTACCTACATTTACCTACACGTTAAGATTCCTCTCAAGTTGCAGTTACAAAAAATAAGGCGTCTTAGCTGCGTGATCAATGCTTAAAAAGTAAGCTGTACCTGCTGAATACTGGCACGTTATATGTTAAATATTATGCAAGTTATGAAAAATACCATCCTTAAGATACTATTTGGTCATTCAGATTTTATATAGATGCTTTAATGTTGAAGCGCATTTCAATTCCTCAAAATGACTATATTTGAGTCTTTAAAGTGAATATTTTTTTCAAAAAATGACCAACGGCTTACAAAGTTGTCTTATAGATATAATAATAATTAATAACGCAATGTACTAAGTTAGAGCTTAATATGCTTAAGATTTCTTTGATTTAAAATAATGATTCAGACCATGATCGTTGTAAATAACTTAATGTAGGTACTTTTCAAGTCCTCGTGAAATCACAATAATACAGATTTTTTTATTCAAATTTATTACCAATAATGGCAACCAATTTAGGAAGTTATTTGCACCAATCGAATAATTTCCTTATTATTTTTCATATCTATAGTTTATTGTAATATTAGGTATAAGTTTATTGAATGTATAGGTAGTATTTTACCATGTTTGATTGAATACCCTTCATTTTAAAACAATAAAACCACTTTGAACAAACATCCAATTGAACAAAACTTAACAACTAATAATTATGCTACAAGTTCTAAATGTCGATTACTCGGCTACTTATGCATGCATTGATGTTAGACTTAATATATTATATATACATAGATGGGTACTACCCATTTTCCCGATTCCTGAACATATAACGATAGACGATAGTATTAAATAGTATTATATTGGGGAGTAGTTTTCAGCACCCATATTATGCTACAATAGTTGATGACAATTAATAGTAAATTAATTCATTAATTTTTAATAACTATATTTTTGCACCGCAACATTGATTCGTACATATTTTGTATTTCATCGCCTAAATGATTGGCCCATTTAATGTGTACAGAATGAAAACGATGAAAACGATGTATACTTTAGGTTAGGTTAAGTTAGGTGTCTGTTTCACAAAAGTCGTTTAAAAACGTCGTGATAAAAAAAAAAAAATGACCGTTCAAACATCGTCAGATTGCATCCTAACCGCCAACAAACCAACAACATGGTGACGAATAATGCGTGTCCGGATGCCAATATCGGGGATATCGAGGGATATATATATTTTTTTTTTTACATCTCCAATAATAATATTGCCCTTAGATTTGCGCGTGATTGACCTTCGTGACGACAACACGAAATTGAAAAAAATATAACGTTAATGACAAAAATCTAATAATGCATTTTGCAGTTCGATCAAATTGTGATTTTGCAACACTACGGATGCAGAATAATAATATATGGACGTCTGTGCGAATTATGAATGATATGTGTAGGCACCGCTCGACTATTTGTAAAATTGAATATGTCATGTAGATATGATGACGTGTGCCACGATATTAATTTCATTTCGTATCTTGTGAAATCTGCAATTTATCGTTGGCATAATATTATTTATATATATTTATGTACCTCCAACATACGATGGTATTATTACACTTCGGTCGAATGAAAAAAAAATGCTATTACCGGTCTTTAATAAATAATTTTAAACTAAATGTAATCGATGAAAATTAATTTAATTTACACTGTTAGAAAATAAACGATGTGGTAACTGGTGTGATTGACTTAAAATAATATAAAATTAAGTATCTATCGTGTAAGTAAATCTATCACAAGCATACAGGCTCGTTCCCGGCAGTGTTCCGGCGATTTTTGAAATTTGGTTAAGCAAAATAACAATTTTTTTTTCAATAGTCATTAACGATTTAATATGATATGTCAATAGTTTGTTATTTGAATGGGAAAAAAAATTATAGAAAAAAAAATGAAGAATTAGTGGAATAAGAATCCAGTGTCGACTAAAAAGCTATAAAATACAAATTATATTTAATAACAGTAGGAAATTAAGGAGTACTTTGATGTCAAAAGAATGAAATCATAAATGATAATAACAATGTAATTCTATACTTAAACATTAAAGAAATTAAGAAACTCTGAACTCAGATTAATATTATATAATAGACTAATCAATTAAGTTATTTTAAAGACATATAATTAAAACTGCATGTGTAAACAAAATCAAATCCAGAATTTTGAGAGTTTTGATAAAAATATGCTTCAAGAATGCAATTAATTTATTAATAATAATAATAAAAACAAAAGTTACATTTATAATTAATACCAATTACTGAAAAAAAAATTAAAATTGAAAAACCAGAAAAGTTTTAATTTGCTTCAAACAAAAAGTCATAATTTATACTAATATAAGCTACAGTATTAATTTTTAAATCGGGTTACGATAGCTGTACCTACCTAATAATGTATACATTTTTTATTAGTATTTAAACAGTGATCGTCAAATACGTATTGTACGCATGTATTAAAAATACAGCACACTTTTGTTTTTTTAATCATACGGTTTTCTCAAAATATGCATTCAGGACTCAAGCAGTATTAGAAGTTTAAATAATTCAACCGTATTCCCGCAGAATGTATATTTTAAAATAATAAGTGATATGATTCTTTGTATTATTTATTGAAAAAGTTGTTTTTTCATCGCATACTTATAATATATGCATTTCATGATTTACAAAATAATAACTGTCTAACTATAAAATACTTGTTCCTCAAGTAAAAATGTTGACATGCCATACATTTAATATTTTTTTCTTTGCAGTGTTATATACATTTTAATATTTCATAAATCCATTAAGAGTACAAAAAATATTTAATTGTGTGCAATAGGAATTATTATTCTATCACAAATATAACTTTTTTTTAAAAAAAAGCTTCGTTGCTTAAGGATATTGGCTGCAAAAATAGAACGTATGATTTACATTTATTTAAATACAGTATTATATTAATATACAATTATAACTGTTGTTGTAATGTTATGGCAGTGTTGTACTAAATATTTGTAATATCAATTTATAAGTTGTAAAGTTTAGTCACAAAAATTATTCAACCGCAACATTTTATTATTATTACATTATTAAAACTCTCTTTCGTGAATAAACTTAATGCTGCTTGTAATGCTAGTTTTATATTGGAGAGGAAAATTATTGAACATGAAATATTTTTCTTTGGACATGGTGGCCACAATAGCGGAATTTTTTTTACTCAAGATTTGTACAGAAAATTAATCTAGCCTCACTATCCGGACCACATATTTTGTCGCTCAGACATTAAAAAATTAACAGTAAATTAACCTAACAATATAAACAACAACGAAATTCACTATAATATACCATATTATTTTAACTAGTGCTGGGAAGTAATTGCACTGAAAAGCTTTGAAAATTGATTGCATTATTGCAGTAAAAAATTCTCAAAATCTTACTTAAAATTTGCGCTCAACATTTTCTTTTTTATTGGTTTTAAATCAAAACTGTTTACTTTTAAGAAAAATCAATTTTGAAGTGATAATATAGTTTTATTTATTTAATAAGAAAGTGACATTACTAGATACAATTGATAATAAAATGTTACAAAATAAAAAGTCAAATTGATTTTTCCGGTCTTTTAGGAACCTGCAAGCAATATTATAAAATATCATAAATGAATAAAAAAAAACCTTAACAATTTAAAATACATATAAACCACACAAAAAGAGCAAAAATATTTTTAAAATACCATGTCTTGAACATTTTAATGTTAATATTTGGAAAAAAATTTAAGTGTCTATAGTTATACA